GCTGCCCGGTGTCCTTTATTAGCGTTCGTCCCCGTTCTGGATAAACATCCAGAATTTCTCCGGTTCTTCTTCTCTCCTTGCTGCTGAGGTGCATCGGGGCGTGGGCTCGGGCAGGCAGTAACAGCGGAAAGAAGAGCTGGAGTTGGGTTTGCTAAATTCAGCATTGCGTTTTGTAAACGAATCGCTTAAAACCGCATGTAGTGCAAGTAGGCTAGTTCTGTGCAAAATATAAGCCCAAACGCCAAGAGCAGTGCGAGGAAACTTGCGGAGCTGAACGTTGCTGTTAGTAGCCAACGCGCAGGTGGGTACGCGGTGCCACTGAACTCGGCAGGACTCGTGTGCCCCAGGCTGCTTTTGTATCGTACGTATAAGCTCTGGTGTCCAGCAGCTCCTGGGGAGATGAGGGGAAGGTCACACATCGTGGGCTGGGCTTGCTGCCTAGCAGGAACGTCTTGTTGCAGCAATAAAAATGCTGGGTTTGCTTTTTGTGTTTGCGCTTAATGTACAGGGTGCTGTAAAGGCACCTTCTAGGGCTGACTTGAGAAACAGAGCGGGTAGGAGTAAACTGCTATCGCAAGAACAATCTATGTGATCTATTTGCAGAGAATATTTTTTATCGCAGCAGTTTGAGAGCTGGTTTCCCAAGTGCTTCTTTCTTTGTCCTGCTTTTGCTGGTTTTTGAGAAGGATGTGTAGCTCATGCAATCTTATCCCTTTGATCTTATGCTTCAGCTACCTATTGTATGTTGTGAGCTGTCACAGAACTTTCCTTAGCGTCCATGCTCTGCAACAGTCATTATACAAAGCAGAAAAGAGTAGTTTTTTTGGGTTTTTTAACCTGCTGGGGGAAGACCTTGCTTCTCTCAGCATCTTACTTGTATCTGTCTGTCTTAAAAAGATATACTGTTTGATCACTGCAGCGAGGAGGCAGCTTTGCACACACATGATGTGCCCCAAGGAATTGTGGTGGTACTCTTTTTTTTTTTTTCTTCCTCCTCACGTTTTACCTGTGTGGCCTCTCTGTAAAACAAGATGGTTCTATAGTGTTTTTTTCCTTTATTTTTTGACAGTGCCTCATATTAACTGGTTACTGGTCAGTCCTGCGAGGAAACTGGCCAGACACTCGGAGATTTTACTCAGCAAATGCCAGTACTCTGACCTGGTGCAGAAGAGTAAACTCTAATTTGTGTTCTGCTTTGAGTAAGAAGCTTGAGTTCAGTTCCTGCTCAGTGATGAAGAGGTCTCAGATAACTGTGCACTTATTGCTCCTGCACAAGTCCCAAGTCAAAATAGAGTACAGAGGGATTTTCAGCATCCTGAGAGGATTTGAGGAGCAACAGAAAACACAGAGAAAATTCCTTACTTTCGCAGTAAAGCAAGAATGTGAACATTTTAGAATATTCTTTTTCTTTTTTTCTTTCAGGTTTATACTATCAACTTGGAATCTCGTTATTTACTAATACAAGGAGTTCCTGCATTAGGTGTTATGAAGGAATTAGTTGAACAATTTGCATTATATGGTGCCATTGAAGAGTATCACGCTCTAGATGAATATCCAGCAGAGCAATTTACTGAAGTTTATCTTATAAAATTCCAAAAACTGCAATGTGCAAGGTATTGGACAGGGCAACATCTGCCTCTTGCTGTCTTAATCTTTTACACCTTCTTTATTTACAATCTGTTAAGATTCTAGAGAGCTGAAGTAAACTCCTCAGTTTTGCCAATACAATTTAATTCCCCTCAGGGTGGCCAAGAAAAAAATGGACGAACGAAGTTTCTTTGGTAGTTTGCTGCATGTGTGCTATGCTCCAGAATTTGAAACACTCCAAGAAACTAGGGAGAAGTTGCAGGATAGAAGAAAGTATATAGCAAAAGCAACAAATCAAAGAGGTTTGTAATGAGATTTCCTATAGAATCTTAACATCCTGTTTCGGTGGTGGGTGGGGTTTTGGTTAAAGTGCTGTTTTAAAGATGCATTTTAAGTATGTTTGCTGTAAAATGGAGACATCTTTCAATATTTAGAGGGCTGTATCTTTTTCAGAGTAACTTCTTGCTTTTGGTTAAGACCAAAATAAGTAAATGCTTAAGCTTTAATAATGAAGCATTTCCTTCTCTTTTTGTTTTCTTTCAAAATGTTATCAGAAGTTTCAAGCACTGGCAGGAAATTTGGGATCATCTTTTCACCAGCTTATTCAGGCATGCCCAAAGGGACAGTTTGTAAGGAAGGTGGCTATACCAGAACCTTCAACAAAAAATTTCTCCAGCATACACATCGGCACTGGAGGAATGCCAGGAATGGACTGGGCTTACAAAGGCTACTGTACTGCAGAGTTCACAGGCAGCACTGAAGGCTGGCCAAGCTGAGAAATAAGCAAATGGCTAAGCACAGGGTTCTCCTTTCTTGTGCTTATGTACTTTGATACCATTATTTGTTGCATGAGGATATTTAAAGGGAGTAAAATCACTGATTTTTAACATCAAAACACCTGGTTTTTTTCAAAGTTGCAAGACAGCCTATCCTTGAAATCATAACTGGAGGTAAAAATCATTGATTTGCAACATTAGCATGTTCTCAAAACTGCTGAAATACTTCTGCTCAGGCATTCCTCACAAACCAGCAGAGGGACCAGGCTGAAAAACTTTAGTTTGAAAGGTGCCACTTAGGAAAAAAGAATCACAGAAAGGTGGCTGGGAATGAAATATCACTGGTATTGCTTCTGTAATTGTATTAAATGTTTTTTTTTCTTATGTGTTAGAACTAATAATGACATGAAATAGTGAAGCTACTTTTTTTGTGTTGTTGTTTTAAAGATTGCTTTGTGTTAAGGAAAGTAGAGGGGCCTGAGAAGACTGTCTCAAAGAACTCTGACTGTCCACGGAGCACACCAGCGTCATGTACAACTGGTAACTGGGATCCATCCTGCTTTACAAGTTCTCAAAGGGTATCCCAAAACACAGGCTATCCATCTGGGAATCATAATCAGAGGCTGTTGACATTTCCCCAGTATGATAACAAGTGTGCTGAAACTTCTGGGTACTTTGGTCAAAGCACATCCCTAACTCTAAATGTGCAGCCAGGAGGACGTGCTCCACCAACTCCTTTAATGCAGCAAAGAACAGTTCCGATTGATAATGGAATCGAGAGGTTTATGCCTCGTACAACTCACCTGCAAGAACGTAAAAGGAAAAGAGAAGAAGGTAACAAGTTTTCCCTCATTGGAACAAGTGCGGACAGTACTGAAGTTGTTATTGGTCCACAGCTACCAGAAATACCTAAAGTGGATATGGATGATGACTCACTGAATACTTCAGCTACATTAATTCGAAATAAACTGAAAGAGGTAGGGATTCTGAAAGTTCTGATATTTTCATTTGCAAACATCTGTATTATGTGCCTGTTACCCATAAAAACAGAGATCCTAAGATAATTTAATTCAACATTTACTCAGTATTAGCAATTATTTGCCACTTAAAGCTAGTGTTCTTACTACTTAACTCTTTCATAATGCAGCATATTGCAGACCATTCTACTCCATACCTCTTACACTACACTTCAGAAAGTATAAATGTCAGTGCATGGTCCTGAATGATTTTTAGTAAGCTACAATTTTTTTCCATGTGGAGAGGCATGATAACGTTGAGGTAGTCCTGCTGACTCCAGGGTGGTACTTGTTTCTGATTGAAAGGGAGTGAAAAATAATGGAGTCAGAGTTCAATGTAATTTTGCTCCATCACTCCTTATGGCATTAAAAGATGCACAGAACCATGCTGAGAAACATGTCTTAAGCTGTATAAAATTTTATGGAGGATATTAATCAATTAGCAGGTCAAACACTCCTGATACAACTTTCCATTTAAATTGCGCCCTCAGTAAGTTTGCAGATGACACCAAGTTGGGTGG